GAAATTTTCAGTAACATTGTACTACTAATTTGATATATCTTATTATCAATAGTTCTGCTTTCAGTTTTAACTCAATTTTTGAAACACAAACTTTGAGGTTAGGTTCGAAAAGAAATAAAAGCTATTTAAAACTTTCTAAAATCAGCAAAGAAGTTATTAACTATTTCAACGCGGCTAGTGGATCAACAACAAGATACCGCTGGTGCCTGACTTGAAAAGAGAAAGGTTTACAGTTATAAATAAACCTATGAAAATATAAGTTTAAATCTGGAAATGAAATTAAGTTTTCCGCTACTACAACCCTATTTAATGCCGCTTTAATTGTCATTTGAACTCTGTAGAGAACTAACCTCAAAATTTTATTTCAAAGCATCTGTAACTTTCTCTTCTTTCAGGCATTATTTTTAGTTTTATTTTCCCTAGCAGCGTCTAAATTACAAATAGTTGTCCCCATCCGCCACAAAGCTGCACACCATCAACATATTGCATAACCTCAACAGCAAAAATCATAAAATTCGAAAGCTGTTTTATATACATATATATCTGTATGTGTGTGTGGACACATGGGTGCATGCAACTGCAACCAATTATCAGTGTGAACCTACAAGTTATTTATCTAAACGTACATACATCTACATATATACATACATATATAGTTATGTAAGTTAGTAAAGATTGCGTTAGCAAACCTAAATGGCGACAACAACAAATTCTAGTTAATAGGAAACTACTGAACTTAAACTGAGGGTACATACATGTATAAATAAAAATCCACAACAATAATAAAGAAAAAGTAAGCAAAAAGTATTCCAACACAAAGAATACGTAACTTAATTCAATTTAAATACGCATCAAATGTAACTGTAATTGTAATTGTATTTAGTAGTAAGTCAATATTTACTGATGAATGTGTATGTGTAACTCGGAGGCGCGATTATAAAGGAATGCAACAATTTTTTAATAAAAAAAAATTTAAATTAATTTAATTATCTTAATAAAAAAAAAACAATAATAATAATGAATAATGTTTACGCAACACAGTACTACTAAAATTAAAGTTAATACAACTAAATAATGTATTTAATAAATTTATAATAATGATATATATATTGTATGTATGTATGTAAAATTTTAAAAAATCTCACAACTATTTTATAAAACAACAACAAAACAGAAACAACTCGAAAACAACAAAAAAA